TGTTCCCCCATTAATCTTTTAAACACCAGTTGCTTCAGCAGAACCTCAAATTTACTATCGGGGACAATCTGCACCAATCCTCAACAATGAAAAGCAAAAGATGGGAAAGAATAGATGTTAACATCAAGGGTCTGATGGAATTTTACATTCTGTGTAATACCCATGAGCCCCATTTTTCTGAAACCTGTATTCCTTCCCAGGTCCTTGTTTTCAGTGTTGGTCTGGACTGGATCTTTTTCACTACATGATTCAAGTTATTACTGTAAGTTTGCCTCAAAGTAAATTATTTCTGCTTATAAATGGTATTATTTAATTCAGAGATTTTTTTTTATATTGCTTTGAGTGAATGTATGTAATATCACATATATTATTACACTGTAGTCTTTCTATTTAAGTACTGCTGAGATAAACTCTGTTATACTTAAAGCAAATCTTTGCTTTGCCTATTCAGGGAAAGCAACAGGTTTGCTTTAAACCCCCCTACCTAGCAAATGCCCAGAAGCATGTACTGACCTTTCCTTCACTCATCCATGGCTGTTCACCAGGGGAGTGAAAGGAAGTATGTGCATCTGTCAAGATCTGCATTACAGTGAACATGCTGTTTGCCTTGTATGAGCATAATTTTAGTTAATAAAAGAAACAAGACTGGATAGTGAAGATTTATTATATAGTATATAAATGTCTTGTGTGCAGTATTCTATGTGCTTTATTCTTCGGTTTTGATTTTACAATGTAAAACAGGCCATAGACGAATCAAAAAAATGAATGAAATTTGTGTTGATCATCGAAACGTTCGATTTTTGCATCGTTACTGTGCCAGCTGCGATACATGATTTTTGTGCTGCAATCGAAAGTGCCTGATCCAATATGCTGGGGTTTTTTCTAAGAAAATCAAAACAATTGATGGCACAATCGCATGAGCCATTTTCATTTTTTGATTGATAGAACTGTCGTTTTTTGACTCGCCTATGGCCTGACTAAGACTTCAACTTATGTATTATGTGTGGAGCTGCAAAGATTTAGAGGACTGTTTGAGGCATCTTAAATTGTTACTTGCCTTGACTTTATCCAGTATCTCCCGTTGACTGTGTTTAATGTTTCTTTTTTGGTATTTGGGGTCACCTACCCACTGAGAACATCCTGGTTTCCTTTGTAAGCTACCAACATTAATCTATCAATCTATCTATCAATTAATCTATGGTCAGGCACTTACTACTGGCACAACTCAATTTTGATATCCTATGGGCCAGCTTGCTGCTTAGACAAAAGGCTGAGCATTTGTATGTATTCTATAGAGACGAGACGGTATAGAACACACAGACAAACCCTGGCTGGCTTATTTCCAAGGATATAGCCATCAGAAAACCCTTTCCAACATGGATAGAAAGTCTATTGTTTGTATTCATGTGATAGCTGGCCTATAGGCTTCTACTGACAGAGGGGAGCAGTGAAGGGCAATAATGTACTTTGATTAAGCAAAAATTAACTGTTTTTAATAACAAATTATATGCCAAAGGGTACAATTATTTACACAATGTGAAATGCATTCACATATAGAACTGAAAAAATATTACAGACTAAAGTTTCTCTCTGAAATAAATGTCCATCCTAAACTTTTGGACTAATGCTGGCCATAGATGGTTCGTTTATCGGCTGATTTTTCGTCCGAAAGAATAATCGGCAGATTTTCGCACTCGTTTATCGGCTGATTTTTGTCGAAAGATAATCGTTAGTGGGGCAATGGCATCGGCCGATTTTCACTGTTTCTCCTCATTTCTTTTATCGGTCATGCTGGAAAATTTGTGAAAAACGGCCAATTTTCGCAATCATTGGTGGCAACAGAACGACCAATGTTTTGTTTTTTGGATGAAAATTCAGCCGATAAACAAACCGTCTATGGCCTGCAATAGTGATGAAGGATTAGATTTGCACTGCTATTCAGGACACTGGAAAACAGGTGTCCCGTCACTTACTGTCCGCCTGGTTTCAACAGGTAAAGACAAACTTCTATCCGCAACACAGACAGAAATAAAAATGCATATTTTTTGTAGCATAGGGGAGGGATAGAACACCTGCCAGCTTTTTATTGCTGTATTATGGGTGTAGTATGTTTGCTTCCATGATTTTTTATGTAACAATTGCAACATGATCAGGTTTGTGGTTCATTTTAGTGAGTGCTGACTAATAGGTGAGCATTTTATTGCTGTCTGTGCTTGTCTTGCAGTTTTTCCCTCAACTACTGTCTGTGGAAAACATCACTAGGGCAGAAAGTATGGAAAATATCTCTAATGAAGCCCTGGCTAGCAGAAGGAACCCAACATCTGAACTCATTCTTACCATCTTTATTAAAAAAGAAAGTTTTGGATGGGCAATCAGTTTAAGGTAACAATCCTTCTAAATATAGGTTTGCAAATAACATGTTACCTTAGGTCAGAGCAGGATCATATCGAAGGCAATCTAGCAGAAGACAAAGGCTTGCTGGATGATCAAGGGGTACAGTCTTTATGCTCCTGCAGTAAACCAGGAGGATAGTGCAATTGGTTATAATTGTGCACCTGCCTGTCACTTCACAGAGGGAGATATACTTGTAGGCCATTGACGTCTGATGGGGCTATGCCTATACTTATTGTAATTCTTTGATGTCAATCAAAAGGATGAGGGTGCCAAAGCTGCTTTTTAACTAGGGCCCCATTCTGCCTTAATAACTCTCTGCTTTAGGTGACCCTGAACCTTAGCATCCTTGAATTAATATGCTGAAGAATCCCCCATAGGTACAGTATCTTTACTTTGCTCCCAAATGAGGAAACATACCTACAGTAGATGGGTTTCAGTAAAAGTTTATTGTTTTGACAGAATGGAATACAGGAAGACAATAAATTAACCACTCTACTGTCAGAGATTCCAGCTGCACCTTAGGCGAGTGGGACCTCTGGCAGCGAATGATGCAGTGTTCTTTGGTGCATTGGCCCATAACTTTGGACAGATAAATTAGAAGAGACTCTGTAGCCACCATTTTAGCAAAGGATATTTTATTTTCATGTCTTTGATCTTACAATAATCCATGGCACGTTACACAGATGTGCTTGATAGAATGCTCCGCCAGCTTTGCCAGGGTGATAGCTCCTCTGTGATCTTTTGGTTTCCTTGAAATAATACCAGGGTTCATGGAAAGAAATGTCCCAATGGTGGAAAATGAAAAAAAAATGGTGGGTGTATTGTACAGTATATATCCATAAGGTTGGTAATAGTGACCAGTTGCTGGTCTATGTACAGTTTCTATGCCTCCAGATCTTCTGAGACATATGTAGAACAGGGCTACAAAGGGAAAATAAAGCAGAATATTAGCTGGATTCTTATTAAAACACTCAGCTGCAACATTTAGCTATACAGGAGCTTATTTAATAAGTTAAAAGGGCAGAAAACACAAAACAAATCACCTGTTCTGTTCTGAGATATACATCATTGTTCCTTGATTGCTATGGGTTAGTTTATTACATGGGTGTTCAACCTGTTGCCCTCCAGCTGTTATAGAACTACAAGTCCCATGAGGCATTGCAAGGCTAAAAGTTACAAGTATGACTCCCAAAGGCAGAGGCATGATGCGACTTGCAGTTCCACAGCAACTGGAAGGCCACAGGTTGGGCACCCATGCTTTATTATATTGGCATGTTTAAGAGGAAATATGGTCTTTTACATAGACAGGTCAAAAACATCAATTAAATCTAAATAATCTCATCAGTGTATGTTAATATTTAAAAATTTCTTTTTTATGCTCATATTTAATTATTTGGATCATCCAAGTTTTCATGTTATATAACCAGACTTCAATTCTTGCTCATCCACATCTCGCAGATAAGCTTCATCTGATTTAAAAATAATAGACTTTCAGCAGTCTGTAACAATGTGAAACACCCACATGGACCTAGCTTGATACCATGTCGTTTTTGGTAAGACTGTAAGTGATATGCTGAAGCTCAGAGCAACATATTGTATTATATAGCAAGAAACTTCTATATTCAAAAAATGCGTTATCTGGTAATACTGTCATATGTCATATTGATTTATGTGAAGTATGGTTTTTAAGGTCCACTAAGCAAAACTACCCAATAGCTTGTAAAACACAAGCTCTGAATTCCACTATATTACTAATTATACATTTCAAATAAAATAAACAGTGAAATTATTAATAGTAAAGAATGGCTGGCAAACTTTTAAATCAAGCATTGTCACCAATGGCATTCTTCTTTAGTACAGTGCATATTAATGGATTAACAGATCTTCAAATGACTGTGTATATGAAGACAAATCTGCCTTCTGGATAATAGTATCTATTACTTCTTTTGATAAATATGAGTAATGCAAACTGTTTATCTACATTCGCACTTATTTCAGATAAAAAATGGAAAGATTGAAGTTAAATTTCCAATGGTCTGATCAAAGATAAGACAAAGACTAAACTAACTTAGTGCATCAAAATATATATTTTCTAACTGAGCCACTGACCCAGAACAAGGAATTTTCAATGTGCATACCTATTCTGAGTCAGGTACTCGGAAAGTTTTGAGGCCTTTTTGCATGAGTGACAGAAATTTAGCATTGTCAGCAATGGCATTCTTCTTTAGTACAGTTTTTTTTTAAATGAAATGTATACTTATGGATTACTAGATCTTCAAAGGACAGTGTATATGAAGACAAACCTGCATTCTGCATAATAATATTCAGTTATATGATAAATGTGAGTAATGTACTATGTACATTAGTAGTGATTTAAAATAATAAATGGAAAGGTTGAAGGAAAATTCCAATTGGCTTAAAGACAAACATTCCACCAACTGTCTTCGTGAAAATAGGAAGAAGACTAAACGAATCTAGTGCATCAAAATATAGATTTTCTAACTGAGCTGTTTGTGACAGTAGAACAAGCAAGTTATCCATACTTATAGCTGTTTTAGACAACAATTTTGGCTGTTTTAGCAAAATGTCTACTTACTGGAAAGGCTTTAGATGGACATGATGTGCTTTACAAAGGCTGTAAATGAAAAAAAAAAGAAACATAGTTATATCAAGCACCAATATTGCAGAATGCAATGAAAACTATATTTTGCATGTATGAAGAATGGCCATTCCTAGATTTACCTTCATAGTTGATGCAGCCGTTGGAGTCTTCCTGTCCTGCCAGGAGGGCTTCTACTTCTTCCTCCTTCATCTTCTCACCTGTTGATGCATCAGAGATTGTTACTGTCTACTCTATATTGTCCAGCAATCACCTCTAAGCACCTACAGCCAAGACAATGTGCATGTGTCTTACCCAGTGTGGCCAGCACGTGACGAAGCTCAGCGCCCATAACTGTGCCGTTGCCTTCCTTGTCAAAGACACGCAGACCCTCAACAAAGTCCTCAAAGCTGCCCTGGTCCTTGTTGTTAGCAATGGCCTGCAGCATTGGCAGGAACTGCTCAAACTCAACCTTCTTGGCGTTCATCTCTGCAAAAAAACAAATGAAACGGGTATGACATCAGCTCAGTTTGGAGACTTACAAAACACAGAATGATTCATACACCACAGAGCTATTTACCTATGGCTATTTGCCTTTAGTAAAACAAAGTGAGGAAAAATCCTACATTTTTATGAGTACTGTTATGAGAACAAGAGGTGGGGGTAAGTCTTCCAATGGAGACAAATGTTCCAGTGACAACTGTCTATGATGGGAGTTCCCCTAACTTGGGGGAGATTTCAATTCACATTGTGTCTTCAAGGAAGTAAAGCTAAATCTCCCCAGCAGGGCACAAACTGAAAAAATGACCAGTTAAGGGTGTTAACCCTTCCCTATTCTATCCAAAACCCTTCCCAATTCTATCCAAAACCCTTCCCATACTCACACTTTAACTACCATACATTTAACTGATAATGTATATGTATTTTTTTTATAATTGTATGTAGGTATACTCCCAACTTTAACAAATCAACTGGAACAATAAAGTTTAGGGTGTTGCCCATAGCAACACACAGGGGTTGATGTACTAAAACTGGAGAGTGCAAAATCTGGTGCGGATCTGCATAGAAACCAATCAGCTTTCAGGATTTATTGTCAAAGCCTAATTGAACTAGTTGAAGTTAGAATCTGAGTGGCTACCATTCACAGCTGCACCAGATTTTGCATTCTCCAGTTTTAAAAAATCACACCCTCTACCTCCTATGTTTAATATTTTTCAGTGTATGTTAAGTAATCAAATAAAAAAATGTAATGGGTTACTGTGGTGGAGCTTTTTCTTTATCACATAATTATCTTTTACATTACTGCTTTTTAAAACCAGAGTTAGAAGAATTTGTATAAGCCCTTTACTTGTAATCCTTTGAGACTGCACTTACCCTCAGGAGATGGGTTGCCAAGGACTTTCTTGACCTCAGCATTTGTGGGGTTCTGTCCAAGAGCTCTCATGACATCAGCAACCTGGTTGTAGGCGATCTTGCTGTCACCTGTCCTGTCAAACAGCAGGAAAGCCTCTTTGAAGTCTGTGAAAAGAAAAATACAGATTTTTGTATTCGCATTACCTTAAAAATGTATCCACAACTTTGCAATATAGGGTAACAATTTCAATGATTTAAACAGATTCTGTGTAATGGAATACAATCTACACCAATGGACCTCATACAAACCTCAACAATTTAAACTAACCAATTTCTACATGTTACTGCATATAATTGGTTCATAATCCATCAGTGTTTCCTAAATCTCAACATTTAGAAATGCTACATCATCTCTCAGAAATGGAACTATTCTGGGAAATATAGTAGTATGTAGGATTATAGAATTATGAAAATGATGCGATGGGGCAAATCTAGTATGAAGTCTTCTTTAACAGAGAAGAAGAGGGCACATTATCAGAATCTATATTTCCAGAGCACAGAAGTTCACAGTTTTACTTCTGATCTCTGATACGACAGCTGTATATATTACATAATAAACTGAGGTAGAGAATGGCCAATACCGAGATAGGGGATTACGAAAGGATTATAGTACATGAAAGCCACGTCTTGCAGTGAATTAGAAATTTGTGCCAGTTCAGCTCCTTTTCAGCCTGGGACACTTGAAACTCAGTTATTTTGAGTAACACAGAGGAGTTTCCAAATCAAGTCAGAGATGGTTTTACAGGCAGACTGTAAAAAGCTGCTAATGTTAGCGAGAGGTCAGCACTCTTGTAACAGGATACCCCATGCCCTGCGCTAATCCCATGGATGCACAGCCCTGTAACCCCTTCATTGCCAGCATGCCCAGTAATTAGCATTCCTTCCATAAGCACCTGTCACTGGAGAACATTTTGACACTGTCAGCATTTCCTTTCACAAGTACAACAAGCTCTACCAAAAGCTGCACCTGGCCAGCTTACTTTCAAAGAGCCCTATATATTACTAGAATGTGGTGCCATTGATCTCCTGTGTGGCATCCAGCCTACTGATAGAAGACTGGTACTAATTAATGGAAAGTATATTGAGGATCTCCAATATAATGTTGTGAAGCAAAACATAACAGGTTAATATTACATATATTGGACTCACAGGTTAGCGGGTGATTGCTAATCGGTATGGTTTGATTACAACATTGTTATCAGATATAGAAATGTAATACAGCAAGAGGAAATAAACAGTAGTAGCTAAGTAGCTTGCTAAAACTCCTACAACCCTCTGCTTTAACACCATCATTCCACTTTAATATCTTGTTTTTCTCTCTTAGTAATATAGTAACTAAGGGCTAGGGAAACATAATATTCTAAGATTGTAAGCTCGAAAGAGTAGGGCCCTCGAACCCCTCGTGTTTTGTCTTGTTACTGTATTGTTTCATGTGCTGTCCCCTACTATAATGTACAGCATTGAGCAAACCTTTTGGCGCTATATAAATAATGTATAATAATAATATAATAATATTCATGTAAATATGTCACATAATAGAATGGAATAGAAGAGAAAATACAGTGCAGATATAAAGAACGATTCATGCTAGTTGTTGGCTTACTAGTAACCCCAGAATAACCTCTGTGACTCAACCTGCCATGATGTGACCGGCTATCTATGGAGTACTCCTTCATTTACAGTCAATTGACCAAACTTGGAAAACCATTGCGGTAATCCACTTTTGTACTACTGGGTTACTCTACATGGAAAAAAAAAATTAATAAGATTTTGAGGGTGCTGGACTTTGATCAACAATCAATCAGCGCTGAGCAAACTATAGGCAATTTATAAATACTGTATAATAATAATAATTTAGAGTTCAGAGGCATTAAAGCTCTATTCTTCCTCATCAAGGTTTTACAGGGTTTATTTGGGATACAGGTGTTGGTGCACATAAATACTTATCACAAAAAAATAACTTTTTCTAGTCGGTGGTTACTCTATAATCCTTTGATATTAATGATTTTAATAGGACTAATGAAAAATCTAATGATTTTTTAAAACATTTTCTATTAGGAAATGCCTAAATTGTGCACTAAGGAAGTAAATAAGCCATAGGCTTATGGTTGTAAGGCCACTTTCCAATGACTATCTATTCACATTAAAATGAAATGTAAACATTTAAAACTGCTAATGTGCCCAGATACCCCCAGTATCTGGGGGTTACTTACTAAAATCTGAGAGTGCAAAATCTGGTGCATTCCTGCATAGAAACCAATCAGCTTCCAGGTTGTATTGTTAAAGCTTAACTGAACAAGCTGAAGTTAGATGCTGATTGGCTACCATGCACAGGTGCACCAGATTTTGTACTCTCAAGTTTTAGTAAATAACCTCAACTGTGTAGGGCTTCCAAGTTATCAAGATGCAAAGTATTTAAGAAACTTGGCTAATACATGTCTGAAATGGGAAATGTGGTTCTTGCTCAGAACAGATGACAACCCAACACATGTGCCTTGTAAGCCAATGCGATAAAACATTACTCTAAAAAAAGGCATTGCAGAGACAGAACCATATATAAAATGTGATGTGGGATTATTCATTGTGAAATATTCATTCAAATGTATACTTATATTATAACATTTTTGTGTAAATCTGGGGCAGTGTTATAAAAAGCCTTATTGAGCTTTAAAATGGTACATTCTCTAATTATAATACGTAGCATGAAATGTATTATCAGTCTGCAAAAGCAGTATGCAGCAGATTTACACATAAACTTCCTAATAAACTTTTTATGATCATGCTATTTAATAAACATCTAAAATAGCATCTTTTGTAGAATCATCTATTATATTTATTTTTACAACATATGCAAAATTAAAAGTTTTAGACTCCAGTTATCCCTCATCCTTTCTCTCAACTTACCATCCTGCTGATCCTTACTGAAGTCGATCTGTCAAAAAAAAATCAGCCACAAACACTGTAGTTAAAGGCCTGCTGGTGTTTAAGATTCACAGCTTTCTGAGGTCCATATAACCAGTCCATGCACATGGGACTTGCAGGAAGCTGGAAACACAACAAGGCCGGTAATGAAGGATATGCCTAAATGCTATTTTCTTCTTTATCATCCTTCTATGTGTGGCCAATGTAAATCTTCCTCTTTCAGATGGAAACAAACACTACTACACTTAATATCCACTACCCATGTAGGCTTCATAGGCATTACTTCATTTCCAGCTTAATCTCACTTACCAGCGATCTCATCTGCGGAGAAAGACTGCAAGGTAAAAAAAGAGAAAAAGAAAAACTAGTATGGAAGCATATGCATTGACAGACATAACAACTGTAGCAATGTAAGTACCTAAATATATAAATTGTATGTTTTCACTAGGTATATAAAAAAATATTAGTTCCTTCTTTACCTATACATTCTATATTATGTTTTACTTTGGCATGTGAGCTCTCATAAATAACTGTAAAAGTAAATTACTTCTAGTGAAGTCATTTATACATATACAGCGGTTTATTTCTATGGGCCTTTACAAAGGACTAGACATCAAGAATAACTCAAATACAGGCTATATTATAGAAAATGGGACAGTGGGATTATAGCCAGATTTTCCAATAGCATTTTCTTTCAAAATTCCAATATAAAAAATAAAATTGTTAAATAATGTGTTTGAATTCCACATTACAAGTAAAGGAGGACTTTCAGGTTGATATATAATTATTTTTATAAAAGTTTTTATCTTTTAAAAAATTAAATTTTTTTTCCTAATATGTAAAAATAACCTATTTCCAATTTGTAGTAGCTTTGGGTGTATTTGATTAGCAAAGGAATTTTAAATTATTGCCATAGACAATGAGGAAAAAGTGTTGCTTCTTTACATCAGAAAAAGTTTTTTTTTACTAAGATACTATTGGATAAAAGTAAAAGAAGGAGCATAGTTGTCCTAGAAAAATCATCAAGTGTTTATAGAGTCCTAGTTGAGACTGCAAAGTACTAAAGTGTGCTAATAGCAAAACGTGCTAGGACACCCACCATTTTGAGCTTGGGACGGGGCGACGAGCAGGGAGCTGAGACGATGTCCTGAGGAGGGCTCGAGCTTGTGGTCCTTCTACTGTGGCCAAGCTCTTCTTATTTATCTGGGGGCAGTGACATGACGGCCCAGCTCAGATGTCACAGGGGCTAGTAACCCCACCCTCTGGTGAGCTTTTGGCTTTCTTAGGGCAAAGGGAAAGGAGGGATCTCTTTCCAGTGTCACCAATTTGGAGGGCTATTTTTAGTAGGAAGTGGGTTAGACACGCTTTAATGGGTTTAAAACTTGTCAGCACTTTTTCTGCAAGAAGGAGGAGATTTGCACAGGCTGGATATGTCAGTTTTGGGCTGTCTTGTACTTTTTCAGAGGAATACTTCTAGCCTATTTCTCCCTTATACCTTACAACTGTGTAAATAAAGCATGGACTCTAAAAATACCCCACACACTTGCTGCAAATTCCTGCCAAAGATAACCTGGCTTTTAGGGTCTGTATTGCCTATTAACACCTAGAATACAGAGATTTAAATACACTTTACATTCTAGTAAGCTTTGGAAAGCACACGAGAATGAAAAAATATGGTTTTGTAATCCTCTTCCTATGCTCAGTAATATGATTAGGCTGTTGAAAGCTGTGTTTTGTATTAAGAATTTATACTCCAATGGGACAGTAACTGATAGTAATGGTTCTGTGTACTTTATAAATGCCAATACCTTGGTGCTATAGATATATTTTTTAAATATAGAAATAAATTAGCTATTTTTGAACTTTTGAATGAGCTTTGTTGTAAGCTCCAAGGAGCAGGGCCCTCCTAACCCTCTTGTATTGAACTGTATTGTTGCTGTATTGTCTCCCTTTATAATGTAAAGCGCTGAGCAAACTGTTGCCACTATATAAATCCTGTATAATAATAATAGTATTAATAATAATCAAACCTAAGTTTTTAGTACAATCATTTCAGTGGCATGTCCTTAATCATTTAGATACATCAGTTAAAATATTATGGGACATCACAAGGTTGGGTGATGCTAAGTAATAGAAAATAGCTCTAGTCAATTACCAAATAAGGAAGACAAAAATGTTTCGTCATATAAGGACTGTAGAGGTTTTTTTTTTTTTTTTTAGAAAAGTCAGTAGGTAAGGGCACCATATATACATCTAATATATAATCATGGGGTTGATTTACTAAAACTGGAGAATGCAACATTTGGTGCAGCTCTGCATAGAAGTCAATCAGCTTCCAGGTTTTTTATTGCTTAATTGAACAAGCTGAAGCTAGACGTTTATTGGCTATCATGCACACCAGATTTTGCACTCTTCAGTTTTAGTAAATCAACCCCACTGTGTCAGTTTCCTTAAAAATTAAACTTCATTTACAAATGTGATGCTAAGTATGCTTTTTGCCCTGAAGTTGGAGTTACACTTTGATATCAACAAAGGATGCTTCATACTTCTTTCAGCTTGCAAATGTTCCTGAACAGTTGTCTTTGTGCTTGGTGACATCTAGTGGTCGCCTTGAACAGAAAATCATATTACAAAGCTAAAGGTCTTAAAGGATTTACTGTGTAACCAGTGGAATTTGTCAGGGATAACTATAGTCTGTTTATAATTCCCGAGGGTTTTTTTTTTGTTCGTTATAGCATTAATCTATTCTCCTTTCTTTATATTTTATATAAAATATAGAATATATGAAAATATTCATTCAGTCAGGGGAAATATATATAGATATCAGGGGCAGACTGGCCATTTGGAAACTCGGGCACTGCCCGAGGGCCCGGGGTCAGTAGGGAGCCCCATGAGATGCCCCTGGTACCTTTTTCATAGGCTTTTTTGAGTTTGGGCAAGGACACAGGGGCCCCATGATCCCCTATTGCCCGGGCCCCATGAGTTGTCAGTCCGCCCCGATATATATATATCCACAGGGAAGGCCATTCACAAATGCTGTGCAGGTTGAAAACATTCCAGTGCAAACTTTATAAAATGTTCTTATTATTTCTCCGTTTAATGAAGACACACAAAATAGAAGACAGGTACATTATTGAGATGAAAACTAAAAACTGACATTATGCTGTACTTTATAAACATGATATTGCTAATTATTTTATTTATTTCAGGTACTTATATAGCACCATCAATTTATGCAGCGCTTTACATATATATTGTACATTCACATCAGTCCCTAACCCTCAAGGGGTGTACAATCTAAGGTCCCTAAGTCACATTCATACATACACATACTAGGGCCAATTTAGACAGGAGCCAATTAATCTACCAGCATGTCTTTAGAGTGTGGGAGGAAACAGAGTACCCGGAGGAAACCCACACAGGCATAGGGAGAAGCATGCAAACTCCATGTAGGTGGTGTCGTGGTTGGGATTCAGGCCAATGACCCTAGTACTGCCAGGTGGAAGGGCTAACCATTTAGCTATTATGTTGCCCCATTCTCAATGAATAGCTGCCAGAGGGTGGATTTCCTACTGTGACGAAGCAAAATTTAGTTGCTAATTATTTACTGCTTAAAGCAGTACAAGTTTGGTTGTAAAATAAAAGGCATTAAAAAAAAGTCCACACACTTCGGGAAAGATACACAGAGCTCAGAATGTTTCCAATTTAACCTTTGCTAATGCTGTAAATGTACCCCTTAACTGAAGATTGCTATTTATGAAAATGTCCCCACCAGCTCATCTTCTCAGTGTGCACACACACCATGACCCCATTCATTCGCATATGGTTCACCCTTAGGAATGAATGGGGCCATGGCACTTTTTTGGAAGAAAGTCTGTGTAGCACTGGGCCTGCCACACAGCGGAGATCACTAGGAGGTGGGGAATTTATTAAAGGACAAGTTTACTAAGGTCCATGCACACTGACTTAAAAAATAGTGCTCCTAGAGAAGTTTATTTTTTGCCTGTAGAAGCAACTAATGTTATCCTATGTGACCATTCACATTTGGTCGTTTAGAGGCATATTTTAAGCTCAGCATTTAGAGGCAGAGAAAAAAAAACCCTTATGTTTTGCATTTTTGAAAGAGGTTGTCTGGCAGAAAAATACTCTAAATGCACCTAAACACAAGTACAAAAAAATGCTTAAAATTAGCGTTTTTTTCTTGCCAAGAGCACTGGCGTTTTTTTAAGCCACTGTGTATGGACCTTTAAAGTAATCTTGTCCTTTAAAGTAGGTAATGTATAGTAGTTACAATTACTCATCTCTAATAAGATTTAATTATTGTCAAGAGTATAAATATTTTTCAACTACAATGCGGCTAATAATTATATTTTTTTCTTTTTGGAAGAGGGTGGCGGAGGTATAATTTCTGTAAAAAATTTATTTTTGTCTGTGATCCCACTGGGGAAGATTTCCCTCACTTCCTGTCCTTGTGACACCAGGATAAGAAATGGGGCAGCAATTGGGACAGGAAGGTGCAAATAACAACAAAAACATTTTGGATGGTTATAACTATTAAAAAATCTGTTTTGTTTGTATGCCCATTTATATCATGTCCTGTCCTGACAGAAGGTGAGGGGATATCTCCCCAGTAGCAATACAGACAGCAGTAAATAAACTAACAAAAATAATCCAAAATAAAATGAAAAAAAAGTTTGATTTGAATTTGACTTTAAGTCAAGCTGGCGCGACTTGTCATGCGGTTTGATTGTTTCAAATCACATGATAAATTGCACCCTATTATCCGCAATGGAAGTGGTCATATTGGAATGGAAGTGGTCATATCGCAATGGAAGTGGTCACATTGGTGCGATTCTGACTTAGTTGGAGTCGCACCAATTTTGAAAGTATTTCATGCACTACTTTTAGCACGTTCAGGTGCGGCTTGCATAGACATCTGTGCATGAAGTCGCACAGATGTCTTCCAAGTTGCCCCCGAAGTTGTACTGACATATGACTTTGAAATCGTGT